GTTCTTTTTCCACATCTGGTTAAAATCTGATTTCCAACAACTGTGCATGCCATATATTAATTAACAAAACATTAAAAACAAATCAAATTCTGCTTGTTGAATACATATGAATGTCGTAAACTAATCTTTCAGATTGCTGCAGTGTTCTGTTTAATTACTCGGAGAACTATATCTGCAGTGAAAAATAACATCTCTAAGTTTCGTTCAATAGTTGCACATTTTATTTAGGTTTAAAAATTTTTTCTGTAAAAGAAAATTGTATGAGATACTCCATTTAACTTGTATAATCTGGAGTGCTTTTGCTAACATATATACCTACATTATTCCTTTATAAAATAATTTTTAAAAAGAATAGCTATTTCTTTTAAAGATGGCAACACAGATTTTTAACTAATGCTGTCCAGGATATCAGAATAAGCTAGAAGAGACCTGGCTGCCAGGCTGAGCTGGCTTCCTGAGCACTAATGAACATAGCAAAGGGGCTCTAGTTTCTTGAGCTCTAACCCTAAGATTACCAAGAAAGCCCCAGGGATTTAGAAGTTCTCTTTCATTCCTATCTTCGGTAAAAATATATTAGGTAAACACTAACATTTAAAGAACTTTTTACTCTAAATGTTTGGCTCAAAGGCAGATGACTTTCTTCTGCTTCTACTTTGGTCGTGAAATAATTGATGTTCTGCAAAATATACATACTACTTTTTGGTTATACCTCTTAAATATATATACAACTTCCCATAAGAAAATACACTTAAAGGATATGTTTATGAAAGAGGTCAAAAAGACATCCAATCAACTTAACTTTTCAAAGCGACTTAGGTATTAGCTACGGAGGACTTTGAAGCAGTTGTTATCGATTAGTTCACTTTGGAATGCTTGGTGCATATGGTTTTACTTTTCAACTAACGGCTGGCTTCCTCACACGTTCTGATAACACGCCCTTCATTGAGCCCCATAAAAGCATTTCTATGAAGCTTCTATAAAACTCGTAGGTTTTACATTACTTAAGGTACTTTGTCCTTACAATTTACATGATTCCAATTGGTTACTTTTGCTGCTAAAAGATGTGTCTGGAACTCCTTTAACAAAATAAAAATTCCTTTTTTTTCCTTCAGAAAATACAGCAGTAAGTTCCTTTTATGTTCAAAAGAAATCATCACACGTTCCCATTTATTGAAACTACATTGAAAATATCATAAAATAAACTTAGGAAAAGGTGTTACTTGAGTACAAGCTTTAACAAGCTGCAACAATAGTAAAAATGTTAAACACAAATGAACATGCTGCCTTTGGGAATTTCACTCTCTCCCTCAGTTTATAACATTCTTGATGTGTATTTTCATAAACCTTTGCACTTCTCTTTCCAACACTTTGACTACCTTTAATTACTTCATGAATGTTGCTTTTCTCTGCCAAATTGTAAGCTCCATTAGTGCAGGGTCCACACATCACTGTATACCCATTATACAGCTGAGTATGAAGTGTGCTTCACCACACTTGCTTGATTGAATTTAAATTAAAATTATCCTTTTGCTATAATAAAAATTTTGAGTGCATTCTTCAGGGGGGAGAAGGGTATGATATTATAAAATTAAAGGGAGAAACGGATGGGGCTATTGATGATGACTGAATACTGATGTTCCTCTGGCATTGGTTTTCCCTCTTCTCTCCTGATCCATGAATCCTCTAAGAGGCAACAACCATACCAGGGCCTCCAAACATTTATCAAACATTTATCCTCCCAAATCTGTGGCTAAAGATCCAAACACCACTGTAGAATTCTAGAATTTTATGCCCAAGCATTTGGTATCTCCACCTAAATACCACTCAGATTCTTCCAAATCAGTATACTCAAGACTCTAATTTTGATACCAAATGTGTTCTCACTTAAATATTCATTCTATTTAATGCCAAGTGTTTACTATGTGGCAACTACCGTGCTATGTCCTAGGGTGATAACCAAACACAAGCTTGGCTTTCATGGAGTTTAGAGCTTACGGACTAAAACCATCTGATAGACATAGAAGGTAAGGATGCTAAAATGTCACCAAAATGATGCTATTGGAGCATACAACATGAGTGGAAGTGACATTTATGTCTAGGCCTAAGGATGAGTAGAAATTAGCTAGATAAGTGGAAATATGAGATGTTCCAAACATGGGGCACAGCATTGTAGTAATTTGGAAATAAGAGATATTGGCATAATTTAAGTAGTAAAAAAATTTGGGTCCTGGTGGAAAGTACTATTTGACGGGAAGAGTAGTGAAAACTGAGGGTGCAGATTTAGGCATTAGCCAGGCCATGGAGAGCCCTGTAAACCATGTTGAAGGATTTAACCTAAAGAGGAATGCCATTCAAAATACTCAACAATTTTGAATATTTGCACCAACCTGTCAGAATGATTGCCATCCTGAACAATCCAATTAGAAAAGACCAGTTTATCAATACACTAGCTGAATGCTGGCTTAGTCCCAAGAATACAAATTTTACTGAAGAGTTTTGAGCAGTATGTGATTTGTTATTTAGAAAAGAAAAAATTCTCACTGCTAAAATGTGGTAAATGC